TCAAAACCGTCACTTTCAACCAAAAATCTGTATTGATACAGCTAGAACTGGGTTAAGCTCATAAAACATCAATTGTAGCTCTGCCTCTTAGCTTTCCAACGCCTAAAGAATCATCTTAATCCGATACCTAGAGAAAAAGATATGGTTAAATTACTACAGCATGTGCAAATTGTCACTTATTACAAAATTAATTCCTATCTTAATTTCCATCCACAAATAATGAATTTAATATAAACAAAGGTGAAACTAAGTTACAAAAAACCCATAAAATTTAATTCTAGGCTCAAAAAGGGTAGATAAATGCATATAAAAATTAAACTCATCAGTAATATTCTCCCACTTCCATTGGGGAATAGGTAAAGGCTATAGTTTCCTAGGAAGTCTTTGGTGTTCAGCCTTGACTTTCTAGCAAGTTAGGTATTGTGAGACAAATCTAGCTATCTCCCTCTTCATGTTCCGCCACCAAAATGTACTACGCAAGTCACAAAACATCTTGGTGCTACCTGGGTGAACTGTGTAACTAGTATTATGGGCATCCTCCATGATCTCACACCTTAAAGCATGATCTCTTGGTACACATAACCTGTCACCAAACCACCGTTTGGCTTTGCCTACATGTTAGCTAATGGTCAAGTCATAATCTTTCAAAAGTTCAAGCCATCGCTTCTGCCTCATGTTAAGCTCCTTTTGAGTGAAAATATACTTAAGACTCTTGTAATCGGTGAAAATTTCACAAGTCTCACCGTATAGACAATGCCTCCAGATCTTGAGTGCAAATACCATAGTTGCCAACTTCAAATCATGGGTAGGGTAATTTTCTTCATAAGGCTTTAACTGTCGCGAAGCATATGTAATAACCTTATTTTTTTTGCATCAAGACACATCCCAAACCCTTTTTAGAGGCGTCACTATAAATGGTGAATCCTTCCCCATTTATGGAAAGTGCAAGTATAGGAGCAGTGACCAACCTCTTTTTAAGGGTCAGAAAGCTCTTCTCACACTCTGGAGTCCACTCAAATTTGGTGTACTTCCTAATAAGACGAGTCATTGGTAGAGCAATTCTAGAAAAATCCTCCACAAGTCGACGGTAGTAACCAGCCAATCTTAGAAAACTACGAATTTTTGCAACACTATTCGGCCTTTTCCAATCAACCATGCCCTCAATCTTCTTAAGGTCAACAGAGATTCCATCTTTAGTCACAATGTGACCTAGGAATGCAACACTATCTAGCCAAAATTCACACTTCGTAAATTTAGCAAACAGCCTCTCTTTTCTCAATGTCTCAAGAACTATCCTTAAGTGCTCTTCATGAAGAGCATGGCTAGAAGAGTAGATCAAAATGTCGTCAATGAAGACAACCACAAACTTGTCTAAGTACTTACAAAATACCCAATTCATCAAATCTATAAATCCTATAGGGACATTCGTTAACCCAAAAGGCATAACCAAAAATTTATGGTGACCATAACAAGTATGAAAAGTAGTCTTTGGCACATCATCGGGCTTAATCTTCAACTGATGGTATCCAAATCGAAGATCAATCTTAGAAAATACTTTGGCACCCTTGAGTTGATCAAACAAGCCATCAATTCTAGGAAGTGGATATCGATTCTTCATTATCACCTTAATCAGCTCTCGGTAATCAATGCACAACCTCATGCTCTCATCCTTCTTCTTAACAAACAACACTAGAGCTCCCCAAGGTGACACACTAGGTCGTATAAACCCTTTTCAAGGAGTTCCTCAAGTAGGACCTTTAACTCCTTCAATTTTACAAGAACCATATGGTACAAGGCTTTGGAAATAGGTTCGATGCTAGGAACAAGATCAATAGCAAATTTGATCTCCCTATCTGGAGGTAAACCTTGGATATCCTTTGGAAATACATCTAGAAACTCACACAACACAGGTATATTTACTAGTCTCGATGTCACACTACTAGGATCAATGACAGAAACTAAGAAACCCTTGCAACCATTTACAAGGTATTTCTGAGCTTGCAAGGCTGATATTAACATAGGTGGAGCAAAAGAATCATTGCCTTGGAAACTAAATTCTGGTTCACTAGGAATATTGAAAACTATCCATTTTCGATGGTAGTCTATGGAGGCAAAATATTTTAACAACCAATTCATCCCCAAAATGATGTCAAAATCAAAGATATCTAAAATATATAGGTCAACACTTAATTGTCTACCATCAATGAAAATATTCACAGCTTTACATACATCTCTAGTAGTTATCACCCCTTCTAAAAGGGTGTCCACATGCAGTTCAAAATTAGAAATATCAATAGGTAAAGCTCATTTCAAAGCATAAGATTGAGCAATAAAAAAATGTGATGCACCCAAATTAAATAAAACAAATGCATTAATTAGAATTGATAGGCAAAGTATTCGTGATTACGTCTATGGCCATAGCTTCCTTATGAGACATCACATGAACTCTCGCCTACTAGGCTTTTGTCCTAACCTCGACATTCTGTTTCTGCGCCCCTTGATTAGTAAAATCTTGCCAACATGTAGTTTGAGTAGTTTGATCTCTAAGGTTCGATTATAGGCAATTTGCAATCCGATGATCGTGCTTGCCACATCTAAAGCAAGCCTTGGTAGCAGTGCGACATTGGTTGCAAGTGTGCCCAACTTTCCCACAAGCATGGCAAGTAGGCTGAGTGGGACGAGCACGCTAAGCTACTGATGCTTGGCTTGCAGTCTTAATGGCTCTTAGTTCTTTAGAAACCTTGCCGATGTTAGACCTCTATAGTGCAGGAGTAAAGGGTCTACGCCCCTTATCAAGTTTTCTCTTCTTAAAAGATGAGCCAACATCATATTGCTCTAATGACTTGACCCTAGCCATAGCCTTCTCTTGATCTATGACTCAATCCGTTGCCTCTTTATATATGGCAAGCTTAAATTGGTTCATCGTCAGATATATGTTAGGATTCAAGCCCCACAAGAATTTATCGGCCTTGGCTTGCTCATCACCAACTTGACAACCCACAAAGGGTAAATAATGGTCAAACTCCTTGTAATGCTCAACAGTATGCGAGCCTTGCTTTAAATCAGCAAATTCCCTTTGTAATTCACGCCTTTTGCTATCAGGTATGTATTCTTGCATGAACACCTTTTCAAAACCGTCCCAGGTGCTAAATTCAAGTTCTCCTTGGCGTAATTTCAAGAAAATTTCCCACCAAGTTACTACTTCACCTATGAGCATATAATTGCCCACATCGACCTTAAGGTCATTAGTGACCTTTAATAGGTGGAATCCCCTTTCCACCTCGGTAATCCATGACCCAACCTGGTCAAAACCCATTATACCATCAAATCTCTTAATAACCACCTTCTGGAATTCTGTATAGATTTTCTAGCTAGGTACAACAGAAGTAGAAGAAATAGGAGTAAGAGCCAAAGGAGTGGAAACCACTAGGGATGGAGGTGGCATGCTAGTGGTAAAAGATGTTTGGTGTCTCATCTCTACCATGAATTCTTGAACAAATGCAGCCATCTGAGGGTTATTTACCCTTTCCCCTTAGGGAGCAGCTTGGGTAGAGGGACTAGTAGCCGGGATTGGAAAAGTGCTATGATCCTCATGGCCACCCCTTGGGCACCCACGACATTTTGGAGCCATCTATAAACACATGGAAGGTTTATAGACGATTAATCAAGTGTCCCAAAAGAGAAATGACAAAGCAATTTCCCACTTCCAAAACCAAGTAACATGATCATTAGTAAATCCAACACACATTAAAGAAATCGAAACTTTTAACCAATATTCTAGAACAATTATTCTAGCTCATCATAACACTAAATAGAATTCAAGAACCACATCATCCACAAGTCATAATTGAGTAACAAATCTCAATATAACTATATAAGAATTTTATACTTGAGGAACATCATGATCCACAAGCAAGGAAAATTTTAACGAGTCAAGAGTTCATTTAAGAAAGAATCAAACAAGCACCCTTACTTAACCCCACTCTCATGCCTCACCATGTTCCTATAATTCATTTGTTAGTTGCTAGCCAAGTTTTAAACTAGCCTTAGAAATTTAATTAAACTTGGCTCTGATACCACAAAATCTGTCATGCCCCAAAACTGGAAGCGAAACGGACACTGTACACTTGTGAGGAACTCCCACAAATGTATAAGGCTCAAACCTACTTAAATCATATCTAGCAATTCACATAACTTAGATCCAAAGTCTCAAGTAAAATCTAAGTCTTCAATAACCAAGGTTTGGCTAAGCAAAAGTGTACCAAAATTTTACAGTTCTAATATTTAAGTCATAACTATTTCCAAGGGGATCTAGTGTCCAAAAGAATGATTAATTACCAACATATATCTCCAATATATATATATATGGGACTAGCAACCTAACTCCATAACGACCTAAGCCCAAAATATGGGTGGCTACCCTTCTAGCTCGTCACACCCTTTGATTTCCCACGCCTATGGGATCGCTATCTAAAATGGTGGACAAGGAAAAACTATGAGATATCTCAATAACTAAGATATGGATAATCCTCATTTATAATTAAACGTGCCATCAAGTGTAATAAAATTTTAAGAAAAACAATACGAATATGAGAAATGAAATAGATGTCTCCTCTATAAGTTTTGTGTTGTACATATGATTTTGATGATTACAAAACACATTTGAGTGACTAATTGGTTTATTTAAGTGTGTAGTTAAGTTGCTAAAAGATTGCAAGTAAACTTGGATTGCACTAAAAATAGACCAAAAGGATTCAAAATGTGCAAAGAGTCGGCTCTTGAAAGCTGCAGCCGGCTCTAGTGAAATGGAAGTGCAGAGAGCCGGCTCTGGAAGCTGCAGCCGGCTCTACAGGCAAAAATTTGAAGACCGTTGTTTGGCACACACAGAGAAAAGACACAAAGCCGACTTCAACTTTGCAGCCAGCTATGAGGGTGCATTTAATGCACAACGGTCGACTCTTTTGAATGTATTTAAAATCGAAATTCCAAAGCCAGCTCAAAGTCTTGCAGCCGGCTCTCGAGGAAAACAGAATGGCCTGCAAACCTGGATAGCCAGCTCTGGAAGTGTAAGCCGGTTCTACAGAGCCGGGTCTAGAAAGCTAAGCCGGCTCTCTTGACAAACCTGCAGCTCGAGCTTTGCGTCCTAAAAAGCATTTAATGACCCCCAACAGCTAGAAACGGCTATTTTCGAGCAAGGGGCTATAAATATGGATCTGAAGAGGTTTAAAGAGTATTGTATTGAGTATCTTTTCCTACTTACTTGAGCTTTAACTTGAGTTTTTGATCTTTGAGAGATCTTTGTTTGTAATCCTCTTCTTGTGCTATTAGTGAGTGATCTTGGGGGTGTGTTGATTCCTTCAAGAGTGATCTGTAGAGAGGATCTTTGGGGTTTAAGTGTAAAGGGGTGAGATTTGAGAGAAACCCTTCTTCTTGTAAAGGATTGAGTGGCTCATTTAAGCCACCATTGTTTTTGTTAGTGGACAGTGTGGAGGAAATCCTTGGTGAATGAAGCCAAGGTAGAGGATTAGGCTCCAAGTGGTTGGACCGAACCTCTATAAAATTATTGTCCAAGCTCTTCTTCTCAACTCTCTCTTTAATTTTTGTTTGGTGGTTGCAAAGAGGTGAAAATTCTCCAACTCCAATTCACCCCCCCTCTTAGAGTGCATTGAGTCAACAATTGGTATCAAAGCAAGGGCTCCAATTTGAAGGTTTAACCACCTAGGAGTTGATCGGGAATGGCTCAATTTCTATCTTCTGAACCACTTGAATGTGTGTCTACCACTAAGCCTCCTTTCTTTGATGGTACTAATTATAATTATTGCAAGAATAGGATGAAAGTCTTCATGCTTGCAAATGTGCCCAAGGCATGGGTTGTGACTATGAAAGGTCCATATGTACCCATGAAAATTGTTGGAGAAAGGGAGGTGCCAAAGGAAGAGATAGATTGGAATGATGAAGACTTGGAGAAGATCATGATCAACAACTAAGCAATCAGCATGCTTCAATGTGCTTTCAATCCAATGGAATTCTATAGAGTTTTCGAGTGTGATACGGCTAAGGAGATGTGGAACATGCTAGAAGTCACTCATGAAGGAACAAGCCAAGTAAAGGAGTCAAAAATCAATAGACTCATTTACATGTATGAGCTTTTCAAGATGAAACCGGAAAAGAGCATTCAAGATATGTATACAAGATTGAATGACGTAGTCACCAATCTCAAGGCTCTTGGTAAAGTCTATCCTCCTCAAGAAGTGGTGAGAAAGGTTCTTAGAAGCTTGCCTAAGAGTTGGAAAGCCAAGAAGACGGCAATTGAAGAATCTAAGGATCTCAACACTCTCAAGCTTGAATATCTCATTGGTAAATTGATGATATATGAGATAGAAGTGCAAGGTGATGGTGGAGTTGAAATAGTTGAGAAGAAGAAGAAGAATGTTGCTTTCAAGGCCAACAACCAAAAGAAAGAGAGTGAAGATGATGCTAGTAATGATGAGTCTAGCAATGAAGAGGACATCACCAAATTGATTTCAAAGGAAGTGAAGAGATTCATGAAGAAGAACATCAAGAGCAAGCTTGCAAGAAGAGATGAAGAAGAATCCACCAAAAAGAGTGTGAAATGCTATGAGTGCAACAAGATGGGGCACTATAGAAATGAATGCCCCAAATTGAAGAAAGGTGAGAAGAAAGACAAGAAGAAGAAGCCGCCACTTGGAGCGATGATGAAACTAGCTCAACGGAAAGTGAAAGCTCCTTGGAGAAAGGTGTTGCAAATCTTTGTTTCATGGCTCAAGAGGATGACAACAATGATGAGGAGATAAACTCTAACTTTTCTAGTTCAATTAATGAAAGTTGCTTTGAGTATTCTTATGATGATTTATGCAAAGTTCTTGATTGCTCTATGAATGACATTAAGAAACTAGGAAATGATAATATTTCTCTTACTAAAACCATTTCATTGTTTAGGAATGAGATTGAATCTCTCTCAAAACAAAATGAGGTTTTAGTTAAAGAGAATGCCTCTTTAAATGGTGAGATTGCTTCTTTAAAGAATGAGGAGTCTAATAATGCTTTGAAAAAGGAAAATGAGGATTTAAAGAAAGGAAATGAAGATTTAAAGAAGGAAAATGAGGTTTTAAAGAGAAAAGCTTGTGATCTTGAAAATGTGATTTCCAAATTTACCTTGAGTAAAGAAAAATTTGATTCTATCTTAAAAACTCAAAGAAGTGTTTATGACAAAGGGGGCATTGGATTTGATTATTCTAAAAAGCAAAAGACTTTTAAAACTACCTTTGTAAGAGCAAATCAATCATATCATCCTAGTGTTACTTGCTATTGTTGTGGTGCAAATGGACACTTTGCTTATGCTTGTCCTTTAAAAAGATTAATAGCTCAAGGTAAAGTGACACAAATTTGGGTTCCAAAAGGAACCATAAAAACTAACCCCCATGGACCCAAGCAAATTTGGGTACCAAAAATCAAAACTTAATTTTGTTTTGTAGGAAAAGTTGATGGCAAAGTCATAAGGAAAGCAAAGTAGATCTTAAAAAGACTTATGCCTCAACAAGAATGTTGGAATGGAAGTGCAAAGGAAATTTGTTTTTGAATGCTCCATTCATGTGCTCAAATTGGTATTATTTATTTTATTGCATTTATTCATTGAGTATAATTACATTAGCATGACTACTAATTACTGGTTTATGTGTGCTCACTCTTTGGTACATATGCTTGTTGAGTATGATTCCATTTGATGTGTCTTTCCTAGTGCTTCATATGATTTTTGAAATTAATGAATTTGATTATTAGAATTTGTGTATATTGATGCTTTGATTTGTGTACCTTGATTATATTCATGATATTTGATGATGCATTCATTGATATATGACTAAAGTTGCATTATTTAGTAGTGGATGTCCAATTTAAACTTAGTTAAATAAAGAGATATCAAATTAAGGTGCATTCCCTTCAAAACAACCCCAAACTTTCTGTTTGTCCCAATCAAGGCCAGTAGAGCCGGCTCATCCCTTTTCACAGCCGGTTCAACCAAAAACCTGAGAGTATTCTCTCTCTACAGCACAGTCGGCTCTAGCTTCACAGCCTGCTCAACCCAAAAAACCGAGTCTTCTCTCTCTAAACCACAGTCGGCTCTAGGTTCACCAATCGGCTCAATCGCAGGCGACCCGACCCAGACCTGCTTTATAACCGACTCTGTAATTATAGCCGGCTCTCCTGTAGAATTTTTAAAGCCTCGAGTTTCTCCCTCCTCACATAAACCAACCCAGATCTGTTTCAAACCAGCGACCTCTCCTCTCCCAAAACTCGCCATTCACTCTCTCAACACCAAAATCCCTCCAAATCTCCAAAGCCCATCCCTTAAACACTCAAATACCTTCAAATCCTTGCCTACCCAACACAAAACCTCAAGCTTTTCACTACAATTTGTGTGGGATCTGTTGTATTTTTGGTGTGGCTGTTGGGATTTCTCTCTCATGGCTTCAAGAAGGGCTGGAAGTAAAAGGAGACAAGTGGGTAGTTCTAACACCGGTGGTCAAGCTCAAGAAGAAGAAGGTAACATTTCACAATCCAATCTCTTTTTGGATACCCAAGCCTCTACACAATATGAAATTATCAAGAATATGGCTATTTTATCTTGCAATTATGTCAAATTCAGTCAATTTCCTCAAGGAGATATGCGTGTTGAAGAAATGTTTAGGGAACTTGGGTGGAAGGATTATGTAGAAGTTAAAGAGCATGTGTATTATGAAGTTGTTCATCAATTTTATGCTAATTTGAAACCAAGAGGGAATAAATGCAAAACTATGGTTGTTGGGGTGTCATTTCAGTTTTCTCCAAAGGATATTTGTGCTGTATTAGATATACCTAAAAGAGGAGATGATGAGTTTCTAGATGTGAATCATGCCTTAGTTAGAGCCACAATTGCCCCCAATTGCACTGAAAATCAAATTAAAGTGGGGTTTCTTACACCAGAGAATAGAGCATTGCAGTGGATTATATCTCGCATTATTGCTCAGAGGAAGGGTTCTAAATCTTATGTTCTTGCCAGTGATCTTCCCTGGTTCGATTATCTTCTTAACGGAAAAAGGGTGAACCTAGGAAGATACATTTTCCGGAGCATAATCAAGCCTTACTCACCAACTACGGGACTTCCTCATGGTGCTCTAATTACCAGATTGGCAAAGAGGAACAACATTGATCTTACATCCTTTAGGTTCGGAACGGTTCCTGGTGGGATTACACTTACCAAAGCTTCTTTTGAGAAAATGGATTGTTTGTTTAGAAATGGCATTTGGATAAAGAAAGGGGAACAAGAAAGGGATGAAGAAGAAGGTGATATAGATCAAGAAATGGCAGAACAAGGGGCAGAAGAACATGAAGATGACAACCCAAGACCATTTCGAGCCTCCATGCAAAGAACTAACCGTGAAACCATGGAGTTAATGATATCTGAGATGCAGCAGCTGCACATCGATATTTATGGTTTTCGGACAGAAATGAGAGGGAGAATGACTAACGTGGATGGAAAGCTTGATCAGCTTGTTAACCATTTTTTTCCTCCACCCCCACCTGATGCTAACTGACTTGATATTTCTTTAGTTTGGCTACTCTTTAGGATGGACATCTTAGGGTTATGCATGTTATGGATATGTCTTGAACCTTTTTATCTTGTTTTATGAATGGAAATGGCATCACTTGTGTTAACATGCTTTGTGAATGGTTGTTTATGATTTTGATGATACTATGCTCTTATTGAGGGGGAGTTTATTGGTTGATGATTGTATTCATGTCTTTGGTTGTCTATGGTGCTATATTGATGATGATTGATGATTAGATGCTTTAAAGGTTGATAGCATGAATTAAAGGGGAGCATTTTGTGCTTAAATTACTTTTCTTAATGGTACTTTTTGATGAATGAAAAAAAGGGGGAGAGAATATGCTGAATTTAATGTCATTTTCTAGAGTACCTTGTGCTGAAATTCTGGTTAATATTGAAGTATTTATGTGCTTTCATTAATTAATTTTCAAAGTGTTTTGTCATCATCAAAAAGGGGGAGATTGTTGTACCTATGATTTTGATGATTACAAAACACATTTGAGTGACTAATTGGTTTATTTAAGTGTGTAGTTAAGTTACTAAAAGATTGCAAGTAAACTTGGATTGCACTAAAAATAGACCAAAAGGATTCAAAATGTGCAGAGAGCTGGCTCTTGAAAGCTGCAACCGGCTCTGGTGAAATGGAAGTGCAGAGAGCCAACTCTAGAAGCTGCAGCCAGCTCAACAAGCAAAAATTTGAAGACCGTTGTTTGGCGCACGCGAAGAAAAGACGCAAAGCCGGCTCCAACTTTGCAGCCGATTGTAAGGATGCATTTAATGCACAACGGTCGACTCTTTTGAATGTATTTAAAATCGGAATTCCAAAGTCGGCTCAAAGTCTTGCAGCCGACTCTTGAGGAAAACAGAATGGCCTGCAAACTCGGATAGCCGACTCTACAGAGCCGGCTCTAGAAAGCTGAGCTGGCTCTTCTGACAAACCTGCAGCTCGAGCTTTGCGTCCTGCAAAGCATTTAATGACCCCCAACGGCTAGAAACGGCTATTTTCAAGCAAGGGGCTATAAATATGGATCTGAAGAGGTTTAGAGAATATTGTATTGAGTATCTTTGCCTACTTACTTGAGCTTTAACTTGAGTTTTTGATCTTTGAGAGATCTTTGTTTGTAATCCTCTTCTTGTGCTATTAGTGAGTGATCTTGGGGGTGTGTTGATTCCTTCAAGAGTGATCTGTAGAGAGGATCTGTCACGCCCCAGAACCCAGATCCGGGAACGTGGCAGACGCCATGCACTTGTGAGAGGGTCCCACAAATGCACAAGGCTCGGAACTTACTAAGTTCATACTTAGCAATTCAGGTAATTCAGATCTAAGCCTTTCAATTACCACATATTTACCAGTCAGATGTACAAAATTTTATCACTTCATATATACAATCGTGACTAACACTAAATTCTATACACAAAATTTACTATGTCAAGCATGGGTGACTAACGGCTTAGCTACAAAAACCTAAGTCCAAAAGTGCCTAGCCATCTAGCTCGTCACTCCCCCAGGCTTCCCACGCATCGGGTCTCACTACCTGAAATGGTGGACAAGGAAACCGTGAGATAGAAATATCTCAGTAAGTAAACATGGGGGCCCGACATCAAAGTTTAAAGCATGCCAAATAATCGGTTGAAACATGAACAGAGCATTTCAAGAACAGAGCGTTTCAATAACAAATCATTAATGCAAAATAAAATCACGTAGTGGTCTCCTCTATTAGTCATGGCCAGTTCCCATTGGCAGGCACACGAGTACTAGTGTATAATCCCCACTAGTAGAGCCACGAGCGAACTGGTTCTATCACGAACATGTCGACATGTGCTAGCGTTTGTAACCTCCCCCACTAGCGGGGTCACGATTACACGACCATATCGAAGACAAAACCAAGCAAGATTTACAGAAACCACGATTCACGATCGTTCTCACTTTCAAAAAATAAACCGAAGAATCTCATATGGGCATGCTCAATTCAAGAAAACAATGAAATTCTCATTTTCATTGCAATCATGCTCAATTCCAGAAAATAATAATCTTTCATAAAAATCATCACAAGTTTCATTTCAATTAAATCACACTCAGATGCTGATAAAATCAATTTAAACCTTGCCACCATCTCAAAAACAATTTAAAACATGTTTTAAAATCGAAGGGTTTTACCATAATTTACTTACCTTAATCACGCAGACAAAAGGCTTAATCCAAGTGCTAGGATCACGGGGCAATCAAGGACCTAATCACAATATTCCCAAATTAATATCTATAAGGAAATTTTATTTCTTTATTTATTTCCTATCCAAAAATTGGGCATTCACTGGGATTGGGTATTTATCTATGTATATTCAATTACAAGATTACACATATACAATTTTCAAACTCATGGACAAGAATTTGGGAGAACCGGCCTTGACAAAAAAATGGGCAAGTCTCGAGAATTTCCTCTTTTTCTCTCGGACACACATACAACAGCCAATTAAACTCACAAATCAACACTTAATCCATCAATTTTCGTAAATTTGAGAAGCCAACTTACCAGAAATGCTCAGCAAGCAAGGCTGGAGCTGGTGGGAAAAATTGGGGGACTTTCACGGGCCACTAGCAATTGAAAGAACAACAAGATTATAGTGACCCAACATAAATCAAGGCTGAAAAGAGGAGTTTCTGGGTTGGTTTTACCAGGAAAATCCGGAGCTTATACCCAACCACAGCCGGCGGCAGAGGGAGGAGGAAACAGAGCAGATCCGGCGGCTTTTCTACAAGAGAGAGAGATTCTAAGTCCTAGACTTGTTCTTGGGCAAGAGGAGAACAAAAATCATCAAGTTTTCTTACCAATTTTTCGGATGAAGACGCTGGAAATGGCTGGTGATGTCCGGCTGCAGAGGAGAAGGAAAACAGAGCAGACGCGAAAATGGCTGGAAGGAAAGAAGGAAAGAAGAAAAAGATAAAAAAGAATGAGTCAGCTGGCCTTATCCAATAACCTTTTAACCCCTTTGAAGTTTGAAAAATTGACAGTTAGGTCCATTAATAATGTTTTCTCACTATTAAGTCCCTAACTCAACTTATATGCTCTAGGAAATTTTGGGGTATTACAAGATCTTTGGGGTTTAAGTGTAAAGGGGTGAGATTTGAGAGAAACCCTTCTTCTTATAAAGGATTGAGTGGCTCCTTTAAGCCACCATTGTTTTTGTTAGTGGAGAGTGTGAAGGAAATCCTTGGTGAGTGAAACCAAGGTAGAGGATTAGGCTCTAAGTGGTTGGACCGAACCTCTATAAAGTCATTATGCAAGCTCTTCTTCTCAACTCTGTCTTTAATTTTTGTTTGGTGGTTGCAAAGAGGTGAAAATTCTCCAACTCCAATTCACCCCCCTCTTAGAGTGCATTGAGTCAACATTTTGACCAGTGTTTGTAAACCTGCCACTAGTGGGCACAAGATTTGCTTGTGTATAATCCCACTAGTAGGATAACAAGTATAACAAGAATGAACCGGTTCCATAAGTAACATGTCAACGTGTGCTAGCATTTATAAACCTCTCACTAGTGGGCCCAAGTAATACATGACTATATTAGAGACTAAAACAGGCTAGAAAGTACATTTCAAGTAAATTCAAGAAAACATATATAACAGGGAGCAAGTAATATATGTTTAAAAAAAAAAACTTGTATAAATAGGCTTGCTTAACCAATTGAAACCCAACTCAATAGAATAAGATTTACTCATGTTAGTTAAGCCAAAACAGACTTTTAATCCTACCACCATCTCAAAATCGATAAAAGTCATGGTTCAAACTTACAGTTTAAAATCAAGAATGAACCATAAATTGACTTACCTCTCCTTGTCGCTATACCGTAAGCTAGAATTCAAGTCTTAAGGAGGCGAAAGGGTCTTAGAACCTATTTCATATCAAGAACAAGAAGATCACAAGATGCCTCATTCAACTAAATTGGTCTTTAATTCTAGCACTAAGTTCTAACCCAAAGGAACAATTTCTCTTTATCTCCTCTTGCCATTTCTACCCACCAAAACCCTAGTAGCATATGTATATTAATTCATATGCATAACCATTTCAAAAAAAATTCCAAATATGACAGCAAACATTCTAAAAATTTTTGGCAAGGAGTAGTAAAATTTTGGTAGATGGCAAGAAATTCTAGGCAAAACAATGTAGAATATAGTAAAGGAAATGTAGAAAAAAAAAAAAAGCAGAATTTTCTGGGCAAAAACAATGCAGAATACAGCAAGGCAAATGCAAAAAAAAAAACAAAAACAAAAAAAACAAAAAACAAAATTTTATGGGCTAAAATAGTGTAGAATATAGCAAGGAAAATGCAAAAAGAATGCAAAATTTTTTGGGATTAAATAGTGCAGAATATAGCAAGGTAAATATAAGAAAGTGCAGGTAAATCTTGAGTAGAATAGAACAGGCAATAGCAAGGATAAGTGTAGGAAAATGCAGATAAATTTTGCACCACAACAGGTACAAATTATGGACACAACAGTAGGAGAATCTAAGCAAAAACAGCAGCAAAACTCTAGACAAACACAGCCACCAAATGGAAAATTTTTCTCTAAAACAAAACAACACAAATTCAAGTGTGAGAACTACAGCAAAGTGAACATAACAACACTTGGTCTCATACTAACAGTTGTAGAAAAACATCAACACTACTGCAAGTTTAAAGGCAAGAAAAGCATAAAGAAATTCCAAATTCACCTAACAAAACACTGTCACGATCTTTCAAGAAAATAAAGAACAGAATACCCATAAATCCTATGCTATTTCCTAAATCTAAAATCGTTAATATTCAACTAAGTCTACCGAAATTAGAGAAAGAAAAAGATTGGTTTCATGCTCACATCTTACCACGAAATTGTGAGTGAGAGTGGCAGCTCCTCCTAAAATGGGAACCCGAATGGTAGAGACAGCCGGCACTTAAGGGGGGCCAGCATTTGCTTGCAGAAAAGGGGAAACCTAGGGCTGCCGAAGGTGACACACGACTGTAGTGGGGCGGGGGGAACAATGAGTTGTTGTCTAAGGGATTTATGAGATGTGGGTGAGAGGAATTGGAGCGGGATTGGCGATGGGAGTTGGTGAAGGATGGAGAATGGTGGTGATGAACTGAGGATGGTGGGGATGGGTTAGGGTTCCTAAAAATGGGAGAATCGGGAGCTT